AGGAGACATGGATTTGATCCCTGGGTAGGAAAGATTCCCCTAGAGAAAGAAATGCACTCCAGTGTTCTTGCCTGGGAAATCCCATGAACAGGGGAGCCCGGCAGGCTTCAGTCATAGGGTTGTGGAGAGTCGGACGTGACCAAGCATGAGTACTCTGTAATGACCTATAATAGGAAGAGAATCTGAAAAAGAGTGGATCTATATATACATAAAACTGATTCACTTTTCTGTACAGCAGAAATGAACACAACCTTGTAAGTCAACCACACTCCAATAAAGATTAATTTTAAAAAGATTCGATTTCAACCTCTTATAGGTAAAAATGGTCAGAGACACAAAGAGGCTGGACATCTTGCCCCAAGGGTTTTGTCCTGTGCCTTCCACACTCACTTTTCTGTGCATCCAGCTTCCTTAGAGGCGCTTCCTACAAGGAACTGTAGGTCACTTGAAAGGCAGCTGAAGTGGTGCACAGGCAGTGTCAGCCCTGAATGATGAGCTTGAAGCAGAACCTTGGGCAGCTCCTTGACACAGGGGGTCAAAGAGAGTGAGAACCATGGATAAGGAGGACGTGGGGTACACCTAAAGGCTAAGGAGGGCAGTGATGGCCAGGAGGGTGACAGGTCACCTGGACTCACCAGTTGGAAGGAGTTAGGTGGCTGGTGATAGGGTCCAAATGAAGTGGGGCCTGGGGGTAGATGAGAGTGGGGAATTTTGGGCCCAGCTCTGCTGGGAATACAGATTCCTGGCCCCCTGTAGGGATACCCTGGGGAAGGATGAGGAGAATTAGGTCAGTGTTTAGTGGTATCTGTATGCCAGGGGTTTTTTGGCTGAGAAGCTGGGCTGCAGAACTGGAACCAAGGTCAGAAGGCATGAAGGTAGTGGGGCAGCTCTAGAACCTTCCTGCTCAACATCCTGCTGAATGGCACTAGATTCTGACTCTTGAGTATGGGAGGTGGGGTGGCAAGGGCACAGAGGAATGTTGTCCTGAGGGGAACAGATTCTCCTGGCCCTCCACAGAGCTCCTTGCCTTCCTGGCTGCCCATATAGGAACTTGGATCTTCCTGAGGTAGATGGCAACTCCCTCAGTAGAGGAAAAAGGCATCAGAACATGTTATTTGAGCACCAAGGGTCTTCCTCTCACCTACCCAGGGGCCTGGAGAGGTCCCCCAGGAGAGCAGGGAGGTCCTAGTCTCTCCCTCAGCCCCTCCAGCACCACTGGAGGGTTAGTGTGGGAGTAGTGTCTCTCCTCCCAGGAACAGCAAGGAGATGGTACAGCCACAGCTGAGAGAAGGGCTGGGAGGGTCTGGGAATGCTGGTCAAGGCTGCCTGCCCTGGGCAGCAAGGAGTCCCAAGAGGCTTGTGACTTCAGGGAAAGCCTGAGGCTCTAGGTGTGGAAAGCCATGCTTGCCAAGGGTTCAAGGAAATTGAGAGCGGTGGGACAGGGCAGACTGGAAGTAGAAAAACAAGGACTTGGTGACTTCTAAGGAGTCCAAGTTACAGGAAGGAGGCAGAAGGAGTCAGGAATATCTGGCTGGAAAATGTGAGTGGGAGTAGAGGATGAAGGCTAAAGAGGTCATCTGGGGGCTTCATGGCTTGAAAATTTCCAGGAACTGTATATAGATCCAGGTGTTGGTCATGTGTTCAATATGTCATGTATTTATTGAGCATCTACTACACCAGTGTTTTGCTGATGAAAGATCACCATACAATTGCTCTCAAAGAGATCCCAGTCTAGCCTGGAAGATGGACCAGGCAGCAAAGTAAGAAGAATAAAGAAGCGTGTGCTGCACTTAGGGGTCATAAGGATCTGTGGTGGAAGGACATAGGAATGAACTTTAGATGATGTGAGCTGAAGGAGGAACTGAACCATGATAAGAGCTGTGGACATGACACGTCTTCCAGATACTCAGACTCTCCAGGCCTGGAGGCAGGTAGGGGCCAGTTGTGTTGGAGGAATTGTTGGCAGCCATGTGGCTGAAACAGTGCCCTCCTGAGAGGAGAAGGGGATGACAGAGGATGAGACGGTTGGATGGCATCACCATCCGACTTGATGGACTCAATGGACATGAGTTTGAGCAAGCTCCAGGAGTTGCTGATGGACAGGTAAGCCTGGTGACTGCAGTCCACGGGGTCACAAAGAGTTAAACACGACCGAGCAACTGAACTGAAATGAGAGCAGGAGTCTGTGATGAGATGGGAAACAGGCAGGTGCCAGCTTGTACAGCACTCCCTAACCCACACCCCTGCTCCCCTGGGCCATAGCAGAGTGTTTGCTTTTATTTATTTCCTAAATGCCATGAGAACCCACTGGAGGCAGAGAATGGATGGTGGGTGGGGGCAAGTCAGAGGACCAGATGATGGATGATGTGCAAATGGCAGAACTGAGCTCTATTTTGAAGGTAAACCTAACAGAACTTACTCATGGATCTGTGGATGAGTAGGGGAGACTCCCGGGTCCAGCGCAGCCAGGTAGATGGTGGTGAATAGTGGACTCAGGAGCACTATTTTGCCTGAATTTCACTTGAATTCCCAATTTGCCATCCAGGTTGGGGACAGAGGGTAAGTAGGCTATGTCATGTTCAAGCCAGGAGCTCAGTAACAAGCATCATGGATCCAGGGAAAGATCCAGAGCTGGCCAACACTCCTAGGTCCAAGGAGGTGAGGAGAGAAGGGATTACCTAGTGACTCAGTGGTAAAGAATCTGCCTGTCAATGCAGGAGACATGGGTTTAATCTCTGATCTGAGAAGATCTCACATGCCACAGAGCAAGTAAGCTCAGTGCCACAACTACTGAAGCCCACTCACCCTAGAGCCTGTGCTCCGCAACAAGAAGTCACCACAATGAGAAGCCTGTGCACCACAACTAGAGAATAGCCCCCACTCTCTACAACTAGAGAAAAGCCCGCACAGCAAGGAAGACCCAGCACAGCCAAAAATAAATTTAAAAAAATTATAGTGGCTAAAGGAGAAAACTCAGTTGAAATACTTCAGAAAGCCATTAAGCGCCTTATGGAACTCAGAACTCAAGGTTGTGTCCACAGCCCAGTAAAGTCTGAGACCTCAAGGATGGGAATGAGAAGGAATGTGTGTGTTTATGTCCGAGTCCCTAAACTACCTGTGTAAGGACCCAGTGGGGCACAGAGGTGTGGAGGTGAGAGGAGGAAGACCTGATCCGCAGTGGACAGGTGGTGGCTGGGAAGACTAAAGGAAACAGCTTCTGGCTTTGCAGCAGGGGTGGGGGGGAGCCAGCGGCTCTCTCCAGGACAACCAGGGGAATGGAAACCTCAAGGGCAGAGCACAGGAGGATATGGTAGAGAAGGGGTCAGAAGCGGTCTGTGTCAGCATCTGTGAGAGTCCGGTCCATAGGCCCCTGGGGGGGATCTTGACTGGGGGCTCCTATTTCCTCAATGATCTCTGTGGTGAGGCCTCAGATGAGGGAGGAGGCTGTAGGAGGGGATGAGAGGTGGCCCCTACATTCTAGGTTTGCTTCCTAGAACAGCTGGGTTGGAAGGTCCAGGTGTTTGGGAGCTGCTGGTGACATGGAGAAGTAGATGTAGAAGCCTGGGCATTCTGAGATGAGAGGGGCTGAGGGTAAAACGAGTGGCTTTTCAGGGGTCCAGCCCCTGCACCTCCCACGTGGAGCTCTCCTCCCTGACAATCAGCCTGCCTGTCGTCAGCCCCCCTCAAATCTCCATCCCCTAATCCTGGGGCTGCGGGAGACTGTGCAGTGGGCTGGAGTACAGCTAAATGGCATCTAGAGAAAGTCCCATGGCTGCGTGGAGAAGGCACCTCAGAGTAGGGACGATCTCGAGTCTCTGCCTAAGCTGCTCACCACAACCAGAGAAGCATGTGGCCAGCCCTGAGCCAGTCGCGGTCTGAGTGCCGTAGATCTCTTCTACAGCATCTTCTGCAGTAGCAGGGAGTGCTCAGGGCCATCCTGACCCCCAGGCCTTCATCTGCCAAGGGGGGCACCTCATAGCTTTGCTCCTAATGCTCTCTTACCTCGCTGGGGAGGAGAAACCAGGTCAGCCTTACCCAATCTATGCATGGGGCTTCCCCAATGCACCAAGAACTCCTGGGGGCCACAGGGCAGCCCCCTGGTATTATAGGTGGGGTCATCTTCTGCTTGCTTCGCCCGCCCTCTTCCACGTCTGGGGGACAGAAGCTGAACTCCATGCCAGCAGGAGGTGAGAAGGGGGAATCGAGGCTCTTCCTCGGGCTGGCAGCCAGTGTGGAGGGGATGGGAGGTTAGCAGTTTGTTGTGGGGAGAGTTCCTGGGTCAATCCGGGGCCCGAGAGCCGCAGAATCATTTGATGAGAAGCCGCGGAAGGTCAGACCAAGAGTTCATCGGAAGGGGTGGATTTGCCCGGCCGCGCGCACCACCGCCTTCCTACACAAGCACGCGCGCGCACCCTACCTCCGCGACATACTACTCAAGGAGGACTAGGTGCCCGAGAAAGCGCGACCCAGGGCTGAGCTCCCTCGTGTCTGGGAAAGAAAACTGGGCGGCGGGGCCATCTTAGGAAGGTAAAAAGCTGCAAGTCAAGACCTTGACCAAAGAGAGAGCCGAGGATTCAACGAGACCAGGAGTGAAACCGTGAAGGGCTTTGCCAGCAAACCCGACGTCGCCGAGTCGGGAGGGCGGCGGGTTCCGGCGGCCAGGGCGTAGCCCAGAGAACGCGCACCGGCCGGTGTAGAAAGTCGAGGTGCGCTTCCTGGAGGAGGAGTAAGAGGATTTGCTGCTTGAGAAGCCAGGTTGAATGGAGGGGGCGGGGCCCGGGTGGGCCGGGCCCAGCGGCGGCCCCCTGCCGAGAGGAGGGGAAGGGCCTAGTACTTAAAGTCAAGACGAGGGAGGCCCCACCCGGACCCGCCGCACCGTCTCAGCTCTGAGGGTCTCTCAGCACATCGTGCTTCTTCGCAGAGACCGCATCCCTGCTCAGCCCCTAACCGGGCGACACCTGGGCGGGAGCGAGGGCCCGAAGAAGCCCAGTCTACGCGTTCTAAGTGGCCGCGGGCTCCCGGGAGCAACCCGCCCGGGGTGAAAAGGAGTACGGGTGAGGGCGCGGGGCGGGCGGGCGGGACCCAGGTCCACGCCGCACGGCCTCCGGCGCCAGGGAGGACCGTCGGCGCGGCATTAGGACCCAGGCGCGGCCCAGGGGTGTGTCGCCGGCTCCCGCCGCCGGCCTGTAGAAGACTGCGAGGTAGGGGTCCCGAAGCCCCGGGTGAGGACCCGTGGCTTGCGCGCGGGTGTGCAGCGGTTCTGCGGCTGACGGCTGGGCTGTGGCCGTGGGCACCAGGTGCGCGTTCCATCTCCATCCATGCGGCAGGTGCCCACGGCGGGAAGGCCGTCCGGTCTCCATCGCAGAGCCGTGCTAGGATGGGAAGCGGAGCCGTCGAGGCGCTGGGAGGAGCGCGAACGCGGCCGGCCTGCCCGGGTCCCCGGCATAGTGGGCAAGAGGGTCTTGGGGGCTTCCCAGCCGGGGCGAGGGTACCCGGGGTGAGTTCGGCCTCTAGGGAGTGGGAGTCCAGGTGGGTACATGGGTGGTTGGGGAAGCATAGGACGACTTCGTGGGCACGGCGCGCTTGACTTAACGTCGTTTTGAAACAACAGTTTTTGAACCTACGAGATAGCTGGGGGAAGGGTGGAAGGCTTGCAAATAGCGGGGCGGAGTTGTGGGGTCCCCAGCAACTCGAACTCCAGGGTCTTCGCAGGCGGGCGTCACCGACCCCCCCCTCCTCGGAAAGCCTCATTTTATATTCTACCCGACACCTTCGGCGCTGCGCGGCAGCCTGCCTACTCTTAGGGGTCCCTGGTCCTCTGACTGACTGTCCCCTGTGAGGCCACGGCAGTCTCTCGGTCGCCGCTCTGACACCTGAGGGCCAGCACGGGGGGTGTACTGTTTACGTACACTTGAATCGTGCGGCACGGGAGTAGGGTGTGCATCCCCACCCTTCCATATTCTCGTCACCCTCGTCCTCTGTCCACCCCTGCGCCTCTGCTGCTAGGTTTACTGCCCCCGCGCCTCCCTTCTGCATGCCGCCCGGGCTCCTGCCCCGGGAGACAGTCCGCATTCTGAACGACCCCTCCCCCCGACCCCCACGGTCTCCGAGTCGGAGGCTCTTTCCTCTCGTGCACGCGGCCGTTCCTGTCGCTTCCTTCCTTGAACAGAGCAACACAAACAGCGTGGAGCATCCATCCGGGGCTCGGTGCAAAGAGTGCGCACGCCCCACCCCGCCCTCGCGCCGTCTCCCAAGAGGACCAACGGCTCCGCCTCCCAGGAGGCCCGGAAAGTGGGTGGCGCTGAGGGAAGGAGGCCGTTGCCTCAGGTCACCCCGTGTGACCCCTGGCGCGGGAGGTTAGGGGCGACTGCACGTGTGATGGGTCTTGATAGCGCCAGGGACCGACGTGAGAGTGAGAACCGAAGAGATGTGCTGGGAGAAGAGCCCCAGCCCGGTTCCTGGACTTTGCACGGAAGGCTTGAGAGAGGGAGGCTGTCTTCTGCAGGGAAGGTGGCCAGACAGGTCTCCTCCCTTCAGATTTCTGCAACTAGCGTGTCCTTCCTTCCTTCACGGGGTACTGTTAATTATTCCTGGAGAAAACATGCTGAGAACACCTCCCCACCTCCCTCCTTTCCCACCTGGGCAAGCCCTTAGCAGATGGGTGGAAGAATAACAGGAAGTGGCTTCCTGTAGCTCCTCCAGGGGCCTCTGGCTAGTGCTGTCCCCTGCTCCTTTTTCTCCCAGGGTCTCTGGCAAGGGTAAGACAGACTCAGCAGGGGTTGGTGAGGGGTGGGCAGCAGATGTCAGGAGAGGCTGTCCAGAACTGATACATGGAGCTGGTGACAATTCTTTGGTTTGCCTTACAGAAAACTCTTCTGTCATGTCGCAGAATGGATACTTTGAGGATGCAGGTGTGTACCTTTCAGGTGTGTGTGTTTGTAGAGAGCTTCTTGGTCAAAAGACTTTAGAGGACCTAGTCCATCCACCTGTAATCATGGTCCTCTGCTGGTGCTGGGATGCCTTTGGATTCTACCTCCAGGAGGTTGTGGTGTGGTCAGAGAGGCAGCTGACACTGCCCTGGATACTGGCAGGTCTCTGGTGGTCCTGGGGTCCTGGGAGAGTGAGCTGCTCCCCATCCTGGGCTCTGTGGACCATCTGATATGTCATGGTTTGCTGTTAACACTGCTCTGGTTATCTGACCAGGTTTTAGGCCAAATGTTGTATATGCCCACATTCCTAAGATCCTGCCCGGCCCTGTGAGGGAGGGGCTGCCACTGTCCCTCTAGAGAATTGCAGTCTCTGCACCTCAATTTTCCCTGCTTGCACCAGCCCAGCTCTCTCCCTCCCCATATCTCTGGGGTGGCTACATGCTCCTGTGCCCAGGTTTGGGAAGTGGCCTGACCATCATTTAGTGGGACAGTGCCTGGACATAGTGGCAGTGTGTTCTATATAGGGTTCCCAAGGCATGATGACTGCATGTACTAGGCTGCTGGTGGGCAAGTCCCAGGAGCCTTGCCGTGAACTGGTGGTATCTATTGGGTAGGTCCTAGGTTGAGCTCAAGATAGAGGAGAAGTGGGGCAGTGTGACGGACATTCTGGGAAACAGACAGTGCTGGTGGGGGTGGTAGAGGCTGGGACAGGTTGGGGCTGGGGAACCAAGCAGTCTAAGCAAAGCAAGTCTAGAACTGGGGAGGAAGGTGTTTTTCATGGACATGAGCTCCATGACAAGTAGGAGAAGGATGTCTTTTGACTTAATAGTTCTTCTCTGGGCTCTGGGTGCAGTGCAGACCTGGAGCTAGGGGTCACCAGTCCATGAGGGTGTTGATAGGGGAGGCCTAGTGCTTCCTACCCAGAAAGAGCCCAGGCTGAGCACAGGATACTGGGGGAACAGGGCCTGGGATGTAAAGAGGAAACCAGCGGACTAGAGTGGAAGTGAGTCAGGGTGAGTCACTGCCTGGCAGGTGGGGGCGTGCTACTGACATGGGGACATCCCATGGGTGTTTTTAGGTGTTTGTGGGATCTGAGCTACAAGGGCCCTGGGAGAATCACAAGTGGTGGCCCACAGGGGACCCACAGGACACAGTGAGGAAGAGGGGCCAGATGAGCCAAGAGTAAGGCAGGGAGGGCCCTCGGTGGACTTGCCAGAGGAGGAAGGTTCTGTTGAGCCTTGAAGAAGGCCCTCTGGGGAGGGAAGCCCTCAGCTTACAGGACAGGAGCTGGCCCGTCTGGGGTGCTGGCCACTTGGCCTGAGGATTAAGAGATTGAGGTGGTGGTGGGACTAGGCCTGAGGGACCAGGGGTCCTGGAGCAGCAAGGCTGACTCAGGCTGTTGGCCCAGAGGCAGCGAGAAGCCCCAGCAGGACTCAGGGCAGCATGTCAGCAAGGTGGCTTCCTATACGAGGGAGCCTATGCTATGGGGCAGTTGCAGGAAGTGAGAGGCAGACCAAAAGAAAGGGGCAGCAGGTTCTGTGCTCTGGGGTCCCAAGGCCTGAGATGAGGCCTCCTTCTGGGGTCCTGTCCCCTCTCTGTCCCTGGCTCTATTTCTCTGGCTCTCTTGCTGCCTGGGCCTTGTCTGATGTCACACTGAGTCTTCTCAGCCTTAATGCTTTGCCCCCCACACCCTCCATGTGCCAATGAGGTCTGGATACTGCAGGGCTCTGGCTTCTGTTGGGTTGCTTCTGAGGAGGGAGCAACCCTCCCCAGAAGCCAGATAGCTCTCTCCTCCCTGGGGAGCCAGACAGGTCCAGGTCCTACAACCTGGAGGTTCTGGGAAGGCAGTGGCCAGGCAGGCTCAACTGTGCCATTGTACCATGTACCTGGCCCAATGTTTGTGGAATGAACATGTCTTTCTCTAGCTAAAGGATAGGCATGGCACAGAACCGTACATGGTTCCCACAGCTGAAGAATGTTGGAGAAAACTGTTGGGTAGGGGGTCCCAGCTGGCTGCTATACTCAGGCTGGGCCAGGACCAGATGTTGGGCCTATCTGAGCCAAGGCTTCCTTCCCGGCCGCTAGAGGCTGCCCTCACCGCTCACCAAGACTGCACCCAGTAGGACAGCCCAGGGGCCCTGCTCCTTTGGCTCAGAGTCCCTCTCTCCCATGTGTAGCACTGACAGCCAGGCCCTCTTGGGGGGGTCTCTCTTGGTGGTGGTTGGGGCTCCAGGCTACCTCAAGTGTGACACAGATGATGCCTCTGAAACCCGTGAGGAGAGCCTGAGGGATGAGGCCTTCGACACGGTCAACTCCTCCATTGTGTCTGGCGAGAGCATCCGCTTTTTTGTCAACGTCAACCTCGAGGTGCAGCCTACCCAGTCTGGTATGGGGGTTGTGGCAGGGACAGGTTGGGGGGGCATGCATGGGACTGGGGACTGAACAGATGTGGCCACACTTCACTATGGAGACCTGAAGGGCTGGGGCAACACCCTGAGCCCTCCTGCTTTCCTCTAGCAGAGAATGAATCACCTGGCGGCTACGGACTCCTACACACCTCCCGCAAGGTGAGCGGCCAGTCGGCTGGATGGGAAACATTTGGTTCCAGGCCACTAGCTGGGGGCAGAGGTGGTCGCTTCCCTGAGAGAGCTCATATTAGCCTGGGGCCGACCACACTGGCCTTCTCTCTGGGAAGGGGGTGTCAGCCAGGGACCGTCACAGTGGAGGGGTCCAGGCAAGGACAGAGGGTCTTATTTATGGGCCTGTGTGGTTCTGTGCATGGGGTCCCCACAGTACCTGAAGTTAAAGAACTTTGAGGAAGAGATCCGTGCACACCGGGACTTAGATGGCTTCCTGGCACGGGCCAGAATCATCCTGAATGAAACAGCCACCTCCCTGGATGACGTGCTGCGGGCTATGCTGTGCCGCTTAGCCCAAGACCCCTACAACAGCGAGCCAGACTGCAACCTGGACCTGCTCATGGCCATGCTCTTCACTGACGCAGGGGCTCCCATGGAGGGTAAAGGTAAGGGCTCTCTCTTGGCCTGGGCGGGAGGTCAGGGAAGTGGACCATCTGACTCTCTACTTTGTTAGCAGTTCACCTGCTGTCAGACACCATCCAAGGGGTCACTGCCACAGTAACAGGGGTACAATACCAGCAGTCATGGATCTGCATCCTGTGAGTTGCCAGGCCACCATGTTGGCCTCCCCATGTCACCTCAGAGACAGGCATCCAGTAACCCTGTGAAGGCTGACCTGCTCAGTCTGGGGGGAGAGTGAGGAATTCATCCCATCAGGTCTTTTTTCCTCCTTAACAGAGGTCACTGGGGTCATGGTTGGGAGTTCTGGGTGGTGGGGGTGGAGCCCCAGCTCCCAAGGGTGGCAGCCACGTGCCGTGTGCCCTCCCTGTCCCACCAGCTGTACCTCCAAGGCCCTGCTGAGGCGACACGTGTGCATCAGCCGCCTGGTCCGCCCACAGAACTGGGGGCAGAATTCCTGTGAGGTGCGGTTTGTCATCCTGGTGCTGGCCCCACCCAAGATGGTGAGGAAGGGTTTCAGGTGGCTCTGTTTCCTGGGAAAGAGGGTACCAGGTTACCCTGCCCTCTCCTTGGGGGCATCTCTCCCACTGAAGGCAGACTACAGAATTGGCCTCCGAAGGCCACATTCCCACCCTGTCTGTTCATCCCTGGGTTTGTCTGAAGAATACTTGCTAGGTCCTCATCAAGCCCTGATTTCCCCAGAAGTGGCCCAAAAGATTATATTTCCTTCCTGACTGAAAAGATATACTCCTTAAAAGTATTACTGTTCAAACACAGGGGCCTTTTTTTGGCCTGCACGATGCTGACTGTTCTAATTGGCTGACCGTGATTTGTTGACCAAAGAGTCCCACTCTTTCCTGGGCTGTTTATCCCCTGGCCAGGGGCAGATTACCTCACTTTTGTGGGGGCTGAGCCATACAGTTTGGGGAATCTTCTTTTATGGGAGAGGATTTAAAAATCTTGAGTAGAAAATGGCAAGGATCCCCCTCCAGGCTTGGGAAGGGCCTTAATGCTTAATTAGGCTTTTTGATGATTCTGCCCTTGCCTCGGGTGTAGACTTGGAGCTTCAGATGGCCCCTCCCCAGGCTTTCTCTATGCAAAGGAGTGCTAATGGGATCATAGACACTGAATCTCTCTAGATGTTACTATGCTGGGAACAAAGAGCATTTAGGGCAGCAGGCACCTCTTGGGTCAGAGGAGTGACAGCTGACAAGGTAGCCAGAACAGTTAGAAAGAGCAGAATCCCTAGAGCTGAGTGGCTAGCCTGGCACCTTGAGACACGCCAGCCAGCCTGATACCTGGCTCCTCCTCAGGAGAACAGGCCTGTTTTAAAGCTGCCAGGAAGCAGTGGGTGCAGGTGTAGGCCTGGGACACAGCTTTGGGCAACCCAGAGG